AGCATTGATGGAACCTTGATAGAGGTGCAGGGAGAGGTATTATTGTGAGGTTGGGTGAGGGGCAGTCAAGTAGTTATGCCTCACGGGGATGCAAGAGGGGGGGGTGGTATTGTCCTGTGGTGGCTCATGGGGGTTGTAGTTTCTTCCCTCTAATATATCCCATTTAATGTCTTTAGTTATTTTCGAACTGGACTATAAATCCCAGAGGACCTTGCGGGATGGCCGTTTTCTTTATTTTGGGGTGCGGGCGTTGTGCTATTAAAACGAGGTTGTTTAAAGCCGAGGTGAAGGCTATGTTGCCCTATTGTCGGCACGAAGTTTTACCATAGCAAATACAAATCAGCCCTATTTGTCTTCAAACCGTTTTCCCTCGGCGTCTAATGGTAGGTGAGATCAGTCATCATAGAAGCACATGAGACAATAGTTTGAATGAGTATTGTTGTCCTTTTTTGCTAGAGTTTGGCTAGTACTCTAAAAGGTGCTCTGATCTTGGTAAGAGCGGAATACTCGCTAAAGCTTTTGAAATGATCTTGTAGCTAGCTTATTTATTGTCTGAGTACCACAGCTGAACTGCGGGACGTTGTTATGTGGAAACACTCATGATTGAGGGCCTCTGAACGTGTGGAGTGCCCCGTCGCCAGGATGAAGCCGTCAGACCTATCGCCAAGTAGCTAGGAAGAGCGAAAGTGTTCATTCTTAGGAAAGTGTAACTTCCAGGCAGGCATGAGTCCCAGAGGGTCTTTATTACTGCACACAGAACCAAAGGAGAGAACAAAAGCACAGGCTGCACAAAGAGAAATAGGAAGTTGTAAAGTTGCTTTATGCTTGTTGCCGCAGTTGTGTTTTAACAGTTTATACTCCCACTCCTACTTAGTTATCTCCTTTGCCCTTCCTTTCTTCACTGTCTACCATCCATGTACTTTTGAGAGAGCATGTCAGATTTCTGAAAGGTCTAAATAAAGGTCCCATCAATTTCTTGAGCCATGATGTATGCTAATTCATACTGCAGTCCCAAACAGACTTACTCTCTTCTAAGCCTATTGAATGAAGTTGAGCAAACTTCAGAGGACGGCGGAAGACCGGAGGGCCTGGCGTGATCTGTTCCATGGGGTCGCTAAGAGTCTGACTCGACTGTGCGACTGAACAACAAAAGCCTATTGATGTCAATGGATTTACAAGGGCGTAACTTGGGTGACAATGTTAATCTGCTAAATGATCATATTTCTAATGTGCCTATCTTTATAGAAAGTATGTGCTGGTAGTGTCCTGTGTTTTGAAGACTGACCAATAACCTAATCATTACTTTTTCTGTATTATGAGGTGACATATGTCTTGTATTGCAGTTCTAAACAGAGTTACACTCTAGTAAGTCCAATGGAGTCCATGGGCCTATGGGTGTTAACTCTGTCGAGGATGGTGCTGTCAGCTACAGGATCTCCAGTATGGATGATCTTGGGGCAGTGCCTGGGGAGGGTGGAATCTGGGGGTGTGGTACAGCAGGCCGTCTTCAACTAATCCATTTATTTGATGCAATTGATATGTGGCTTTTTCCAAAATACTCTGCTTTTCCCCCAAGAGATATTTTCTTCACTTGTCATTTATCAATGTTTGCTTCCACATGAGAATCCCCCCTCCCTGCACACACACACTGAAAGCAAGAAGCCCTTGCATTAAAGGAGAACATCCAAGTGTGATTGTGCTAAGTATCTTTCCATAGTCAGTACAGGAAGGGGAACAGGTCTAAGCTCTGTTTTCAAAATGGTGTGGGGCAGCTTGCTGCTGTGAGCCAATTTGCTCTTTAGTTCTTTAATGGGCTTTTTTCCGCTTTCCCTGCTGAGTTGCACTATAGCATTATAGCATGATGAAAGGATGGGGGGTGTTACTGGCTGCCAAGGGTGTTCTGGTGAAGTTGCCATAATGTCTGACCTTTTGTACAGGTGTGATGGAAAAGGGGGGGAGGAAGAAGGTAGTAGCAAGCGGTGTGGGAGAAGGGTGGTAATGGATGATGTTCCTGCCCGTTGCTGCACCATTGGCTGTTGCTGTAAAGAGGGAATGCTTTTGTGCCCTTGAATAGATATAACAGTTACAAGGATATTTTATAACTTGATAGCTAAAGCTTTGCTTTAATGGGTGGACTTTTTGGATAACCTAATAACCTTGCATTTTGCATTGTTAATGTTGATTTCAAATAAGCAAACACCCAAAAGAATGAATTGGGTGGGAATTCAAAATAATTTTTCAAAATTAAGTATTATGATGACATGCCATGACCTCTACAGTCTTCTTCTGAGGCCTTACTTTGGTTGCCCTCACCTTCTGAGATTAGGTGGGTGGCAACTTTCTCCCAAGAGAGATTCATCTGTCCTCTTCTGCTGCCATTTTTTGCTGGCACACAGAAATTTTTTTCTTTCATTTGGTATTCACTCAGTGATCCCTCCTTTCTAACCAATGTTTTAATTGTAGTTTTTATGTTTTGTATGTATTTTAATGCTGTTTTAAATTGTTTTAATGATGCATGTTAGGGCTTTATTAATGGTTTTAAAGTGTGATTTTTTTCATGTATATTTAAATTGTTAGCTGCTTTGGTAGCCCTTGAGAGGGCAGAAAGGTGGGATATAAAATTATTAAATACATTGCCTGTGAGTAAAGTCCATTTAATTTTTCCCCAGTATAAGACAATATATACATGTATAATTCAAACTTTTGAACTTTTGCTCTGTTATCACAGGTTCAGTAGTTAATTGGTCAGGTCAAGGGTTACAAAAATTGGGACCAACTTTGTCCTGTGATGCAGATACACATACTTTGATTCTGGATAAAAACCAGTTAATTAAATTGGAGCACCTGGAGAAATGCAGGAAATTGATGCAGGTTAGTTGTATATGACTGTGATACTCTCATGCTATGTTTGTTAGCTTATCCTTAGTTTACAAGTACTGGGGGGGGGGAAACTAGAGAAAAGATCATCAAAAAATTTAGGAGAGGTAAATATAACATCCTCAACATATTAGAATGTCATTCTTCAGTAGATTTTCACAAGCTTTACACTGGAGTGTTAACAACTTTAAAATCTTCTAGATTTGCATTCACTGGAGTCTCCAAAGTTACAGATACAGATACATGCACACATACCCAAACATTGCCACTCGTGGCTCCTCCCTTGCAGTTCCCTCTTGAATAGTTCAGTTTTGCATAGTGTGCAGAAGGCCAAGAGAGTGGGTGCTTTCCTGACTTCATCAGGCAAGCCGTTCCACAGGGTGGGAGCCAAAACTGAGAAAGCAGTTGTTGTACGGGCAGTTGTTGATTTTGCCCATTTGCAGGTTGGGACCTGCAGAAGCCCCTGCTGACGTGAGCGAAATTGTTGTGGTGGAGAAAAGGGAGCGAGGCAGTTCCACAAATAAAAGGGGACAAGGCAATGAATGGCTTTGTATATGATAGCCAGTACCTTAAACAGTGAGGGGCGTGGTGGCTCAGAGGTTAAGACACTGAGCTGCAGACCGGAAGGCAGTTCGAGACCCGAGTGCCACGTGATGGAGTGAGCTCCTGTCTCTGGCCCCAGCTCCTGCCAACCTAGCAATTCAAAAGCAAGGAATTGCAGGTAGATAAATGGGTAGCACTTTGGTGGGAAGGTAACAGCATTCTGTGCGCCTCGGTGTTTAGCCATGCTTGCCATATGACCACGGAAAAAGTCTTCAGACAGCGCTGGCTCTTCAGCTTGGAAACAGAGATGAGCACCGCCCCCTAGAGTCAGATTCGACTGGCTTTCGAGCAAGGGAAACCTTTACCTTAAACAGTGCCTAGTAACAGGTGGACAGCCGACTGAGCATCTGGAGAATAGGAGTAATATGCATACTCTATCTAGTTTCCATTAATAGTCAAGTCGTAGCATTCTGGACCAGCTGGAGTTTCCAAGTTGATTTTGAGGGGAGACTAATTTACAATGCATCACAGTAGTCTAGTCTTGAGGTTACTATAGCGTGGTTCCAGGTAGCCAGGTCAGCCATATTAAAGTAAGGGGCCATCTGATGAGCTAGGCTGGGTTGGTGGAAATCCTTTTTTGTGGATGAATTAATTTGCTTCTCCAGTAGGGTGGGGTGTGGCTCAATGACAGTGTCTGGTTCAGGTTAAAAGGATCACTTAGTGCTGGGGTGTCAAGCATAAGGCCCGGGGGCCGGAACTGGCCATCCAGGGCTGTTATGCAGCCCGCAAGCACCTGGTGTGAGGAAACAGGAAGTTGCTCAGGGTGGGCGGGCAGAGCTTCAGGCCAGGAGAGCAACCTCATCTGCAACAGTTAAACAGAACCCTTCACTTCAGGGACAGCCTCACTGGGAGGCACTACAGAGGCACTACAGCTTCATTCATACCTCTCCACTCAGCCTGCAGCTCCAGAAATGCTGTCCCAGATGGCCAAAGGGATCAGTGTTTGCATTGGGGTGTGTGTGCACACAATCCTCTGGGCATGGGAGTGTGTGTCCAGCACTGCACTGCTGGCTCTTCAGTCCGCCCATGTGGGTTTTCCTCTGCACCCCCCTCCCAGTCCATGAGGCCTTGCAGTGAGGACGCATAAACGTGGAGCTTACCAGTTGCTGTCCTTCATAAAGTTTATATCTCCAGTACCTGGCATTATGTTTTATGGCACACATAACCCGGCCCAACAGAGTGTCTGTCAGATCTGGCCCCCGTAACAAATGAGTTTGACACCTATGACCTATTGGGTGATGTAAAAGAGTCTCCATGAGACCTTCGAGAACCTTTGTCTATTAGAGCAGACAATACTGACCTTGACAGACAATGGTTTGTATTCATCATGTGTCCTGTCAGGGCTGGTTTGTACTACCATTTTGGAATCAGGGAAGGTCACAACTTCTGTCCCTCAAATTTTGTGTGATAAATTGATCTCGTAAAGTGTCCCATCCATATGTTGCAAGGAAATAATTTATCCTTTCTCAAAAAGCAATGTTTTGGGTTGTTGTAACTAACAGTTTTTGGAGATAGTGATTAACACAACTGTGTTTTTACTTTGTTACATTTTCCACACTGTGTACTTCTATTATGGATTAATTCAAAAGTTCTTAAATGTGTGTCATGAGCTTTTTGAACAGCATCAAAACATTATAAATTGACAGTTGAATGGAAACAATATCTGATGCCGTCATGGTTGGTTTATGCCCTTTTAACTACAATGACTTTTTTTACCTTGCAGTTGTCTGTTGCAAATAATCGGCTGGTACGGATGATGGGTGTAGCAAAGCTCACCCAGCTTCGGGTATTAAACTTGCCTCAGAACAGTATTGGTTATGTGGAAGGTCTGAAGGATCTAGTGCATTTGGAGTGGCTGAACCTGGCAGGAAATAATATAAAGGTGAATTTTCTTACATTTTCTGTCAGAATAGAAATGTAATTAATAATTTCAACAAAAAATTGTGTGTGGTTTAATCCCACTTGAACTAATAAAACTTTTAATCCAGTTTAATTTTTATTATGTATTGTAGCTTGCTTTATTATCATCAAGCTGCTAGAGTGCTTTTTAAAAAGCATGGCATTGAAATTTACACTAAAAAATAAATGCCTTACTAGTAAAGGGCATTCAATTGAATGCATCTCTTGAAAGAGCAGTGAATAAAATTGCTCTTCTCAAGCAGTGTTAAAAATTGGGGAAATACTTTTGGCCACAACTCAACCACTGTTCATAGAATCCATTTTTTTAGTGGTGTGTTATGGCTCTTCATATCTCGGGACCCTGTTCTGTTTTACTATCATTCATGTTCAGAATAACTTTTGGAATTGTTACTCCGCTGCACACACAGGAAAACACTATATTGGAAAGGGTTGCCCATGCAAATTCTTTGTAGGTGATCCTGTGGACTATTTCTATGTAGGATATGGTGTCATTAGAAAGCAAGCTTTAACCCTTGTGAATGAATCATTTTTCACACAAATGCAATAAAAATATTGTTGGAATCATTCCATATTATACTGCCAAATGTTATACCTGAATTAGCCCAGAGAATATTCATGTTTTTATAATAATTTCTAGCATTTATTTTTGCAGATGGAAAATTGTCAATAGCTTTAGAAACAAGAAGTTGCCTAAGCAGTATTTCCAGAGCCACTTTCCTTAAATCCCTAATCTTATTCATGCATCAATTTTTATCTACATATCTATACATCAACACCCCCCACCCCACCCCCATCCCATTTTTCCTTCTTGGCCTACTGCCCTACTCCTGGTATTAAAATTTCCAAATTATTTAAATCCTTTAAAATATTGCAACCAGAATGAAGTATGTAATCAGTCTCATTGCTTATTCTAGTGACTAAATCCAATTTTTGTGGGTGCAGGGTTTTTTGTTTGCTTGTTTGTTTTGTTTTTAGCTTGGAATTTCAGAACACCTAGGGTGATGGTTATATGACCTACAGTCTTTTTGACATAGTTTTAAATTTAAAGAGCAAGAAGCTGTGCTGAAGTGTTTTTCTATAGTTAATTCATTGAGAAACTAATGTATAACAGTTTTATAAATGTTTATGATTGCTGAAAAAACATTTTATGTTTCTGTAGTTGATTGATCAACTCAACAGCTGCACATCACTTCAACACCTAGATTTATCAGACAACAATATATCCCAAATAGGTGATATCTCGAAGCTTTCCTCTCTGAAGGTAAATGTTGCTTGGTTATTTGTGTGTGGTATTTTACTTGTCTGAGAGCTGTTCATCATTAAAGCTTATGGATGCATTCAGGCATCACATGCAAACTTTTGTTCTCTTTCCTGTAAGCAATAGATTAGTCCTGGTTTGTAGGCTAGGGAGCAAATCACAGTTTGTTGTTTTGTCTGTTTGAAGTGTCAGAACATTCTACAGTTCCAAGCTGGTTTTCAATTTCCCAGTTGTGCAATGGAAGAGATAGGAGGGGAGGAGTGCATGAAACGAAGGACTTTTTAGCTGTCTTGCAGTGATCAAAGACAGTTGGATACGGCCAACATAATAATGTATTTCCCAGCTACAAATGCTGTTCATGCTTTGCAGTTGATTCAGTGGATGGACATGTATGTTAAAATATTTCTTTTGTTATAAAGTATTGGTAAACAACCAATTTAGTGTTCGTATGTTCTACAGTTATTTGCCAGAGGTGTTTTTTCAATGCATTTAGGCAGCTCTTTTGAAATACTCAAAGGATTTAAATGAACTCTGTTAAATTTCTATCTCTTGTACTTCCCTCCCCTCTTGTCATCCCTCAAGACACTTCTGCTGCATGGAAATATCATAACATCATTGCGTACGGCTCCTGCTTGTTTACCTCAAGGTCTTGCTATTCTTTCTTTGGCAGAAAATGAAGTCAGAGACTTAAATGAGGTAAGAACAATGTTTCTCAACAACCACAAATGAGCCATTCTTTAGGTACCTTTTTGAGAAAGGTCAAAATAAAGTTTCAAATGAAGCACAGATAATTGTCACTGCAGTCTTTAGTTTCCTACTCATGTCCATAAACTAGAGGGGGAGCTACACAAACTCACTGGCACAGAACAGATGCCAGCTGTACATTTTCAAAAAGAAGATATAATTAGGGCAGAGTAATTAAACTATTTTTCCGGAAGAATGAAGGTCATTCTGTTGGACGGATGCTATTTTTGTAATTAAAATATAAATTGCATTTCAAAATAGGTGTATATTCTGAGCCTCTTATCTGAGTCTCGTAATTATCCAGATTCATGAAGTGTTCTTATGAAGCTGTGTTTAACTTGATCCTCCAAATATCCATATATGTTAATGCCTGTAGCTCAGGTTAAGCCATGATGTCAATTTGTGTGTTTGAGCTGTGGTCCAGGATTGTTAATATCAGAGTTTGAATATTTCTTTGATTATCATCTTATGGATCAAATATAATTATGTAAGATTAATATGAAAATTAATAGCAAAGAACTTCAAGAACAGCTTGTGTTTTATGATCATGGGATTATGGTGACCATATGTCCAGTTTGGGAATTATACATTCTTGATAAAGTTTGAGTCCAGTGGCACTTTTAAGATCAACAAGATTTTATTCAAGGTATAAGCTTTTGTGTGCAAGCACACTTCAGATGTGTATTGTGTACTTGCACATGAAAGCTTATACCTTGAATAAAACATTGTTGGTCTTAAAGGTGCCACTGGACTCAAACTTTGTTCTGCTGCTTCAGACCAATGTGGCTACCCACCTGAATCTACATTCTTGATAATTATTTGTCAAGAATATTTTGAGGATATGTTACTTTTTGTTAGGACAAATTAGATTTGGTTAGGTCTGGGATTCAGTTTACATTATCATTTGTAGAGATAACTCTCTGTCTGTGTACCTGTGACATTATGTAGCTTCAGGGAACACAGAGCAGCTGATTGCAATTTTCTTTGACTTCTGGTTTTAAAGACCAGAAATCATAGGAGAGCCATGAGTGCAGGTGCTGTAGAGCTGTGCTTCCTGTACTTCCCTGCCTTCCCTCCTTGCCAACCGAAGCAAAAGCATTTGATAGAAGATAAGGGGTTGTCTGCTGTGATGCAACTGAACTTTGAAAAGATCCAACTTGATTTTGTGGTTAATCTAAAGTGTCAAACTGTGGATTGTGCTTGGCCCCCAAATTGCAAACTATTGTTAAAGAGGGAGGGAATTGTAGTGTGAAGGAATGGAACAGGCATTGGCGCCAAGACTCACTCATGATGTTTAGCATAACATGTGACCCAAGTCACAGAAAATAAAAAAACTGGCTTGTAAATGGAATTAAGCCATTGAAGCTACAGCCCATGATATTAAATAAGTTATAGTCGATCAACAACGCTATTATTTGTTTCAGATATCCTTCTTGGCTTCTTTCTCTGAGCTGGAGCAGTTGTCAATTATGAACAATCCTTGTGTGATGGCCACTCCTTCCATCCCAGGATTTGACTATCGGCCATATATTGTTAGTTGGTGTCTCAGTCTTAAAGTCCTTGATGGCTATGTGATTTCTCAGAAAGAAAGGTAAGCAGTGGGTAATGAATATGACAAAACATATTCATCATCTCTCCAGTTTCTTTATCAAAATGCCACAATCATCCGTTCTCTCCCCTAACTCTCAGTGTTGAAATCAGAATAAAGTATGTCTATTAGGCAACATCTTGTACTTCTTAACTTACATTAATTAATTTGGTAACTAGATTCTTTACTTTTGAGGTATTTATGAAATACAATCAAATAATTTGGAGGGCTGGGATAGAGTGTGGTTTAGTAATTCCATTTGGTGAAGTATGTCTATTAGGAACATCTTGTATTTCTTAACTTACATTAATTAGTTTGGTAACTAGATTCTTTACTTTTAAGGTACTTATGAAATGCAATCAAATAATTTGGAGGGCTGGGATTGAGTGTGGTTTAGTAATTCCATTTGGTGATGGCAATGGGAGATATGGTCAGAGTGGGAAAGCTCTGTGGTCAAGATGGAGGCTTGAACTGCTCTCTGACTAAAATCACTTGAGTTGATTTCTAATATCAATTAAATGCAGTATAATCCAATAAAACCCACAGCACCATAATTAAAAGCCAGTTGGCAGCACAAAACAGCATTAAACACACAGCACCTAAAACTGATATTATAAGTACTCAGCCCAAAAAATCTCAATGAAACAGCCATTTTTTAACATATTGTCATTACTAAACTTAAAACCAATAAAAGAGTGTAATACTGCTAGTTTAAATATCTGGTTGGGTTTTTTTTTTTAAGTCTTGGCCTGACATCAAAGCTCTACCAAACTGGGAAGTAGTCAAATAAAGGCATGGTGTTTCATAGACAAGGTGCCTGAACTGAATAGGCCCTATCCAGGTATCCTAAGTGAAACTGAAGTGGCCACTGGCTTCCTCTAAAGGTAGCAGCACCTGAGCCAGAAACTGAGGATCTCAATGCTTAGGTAGGTTCATGTGGGAACAGACAATCCTTGAGGTACTTTGGTCCCAGGCCCTCAAAAAAACAAAAAAAAACCCCAACAACAGGCAACCAGTGAAGTTATTCTGAACACAGAATGTTTGGACAGCTGTTCCTAGTCTGTTCAGCGGGTGCTTTTGGATGTCTAGTTACTGAACATACTTGTTCCTTCTTTAATTCTAGGAGAACCTGCTAACCTTTGTATATTTACTGCAATCTGGCTGAATGTTGCTAGGGATTAAATATTAGCCTAGCTAGCTCCAATCAGGTATTCAGTTTTGCACAAACCCAGGGGAAGACAATTGGACAGTGTATGCCACTGACATAGATATACCATCCTCTGTTCCAGATATCCTAAAGTGAGATTGAAGAATTATGATGCTGTGATCTTTGCAGAGAGCAGAGTAAAACTGCTTCTTCTCATAGTGTTCTATCCACCCTGCTAACAAGAGGACTCCTTCACTGGTCTCACAGGCTCTTAGTTCTGTATTCACCTTGCTAACAAGAGGACTCCACTGGTCTCACAGGCTCTTAGTTCTGTAGGCCTTCGGTATGCAGGCTGATACTCCTGCAGAGGTGTGACACACAAGTACCAGCTTGTCCCATTTTGTCAGAGGCCCTTCCAACATTGCTTGATGCATGCTTGACATGATGTTCCTTACTGGCCCTGAAGTTGGTGACTTCTTTGAAGTAGCTTCAGCATTGTACTGACATGGAGACACCCTTACCTAGTCAAGCATAGATCACAGGAGCACAAAATCTCACAGTTAGGGACTTAGAGAACTCTTGGATTCTGTGTCATTCCAGAAACCTCCATGGGATTTGCCACCTGGCTTTACAAGTGTTTCTGTGTTTGGCCATATTTGAACTGAAATCGGTATCTGACCTGGCCATTAACACAGTCACTCCTGAGTATCCTTTGGCCAAGCAGCATAGCTGAGTACCTGTGGGCAGTGGTCTTTCCCGGGAGTCTGCAAGAATGCTAGTAACTGAAAACTTGGGTCAAGCACCTGTCATTAAGAGGTCTGTGATGTGATAGAGATTGATGTAAAGAAAGCTTTATTCTTTGCTTCCACTGCTGTCTGGCAGAGCTATTTCATGTGGTTAAATATTTTAACTTTTTCTGTTAAGAAATCTTCAAAGTGTGAAAAATTAGCAATAAAATCATGTCAGCAGCAACAGCCTGAAGTAATAAAATGGGGGTTCTGTTTTGACCTTGCTACTCAGGTATTCAGCTTTGCATTAGCCTAGGGAAGAGAGCTGAACAAGGTGTACCACACTCTGTGAAGATACCAAAGCATTAAAGAGAGCAGCAGCACAGTTATCAGGTTGTTTGGTTGTCACAACAACCACATACCAGCTCATCTGGCCAGTTTGTGAACATTTTGTAGATAAAACTGTTCTGGTCTGATGCACTACGGGCAGTGTTCTCTCTAAGCTGAGTCAGTGTGAGCTAGCTCATAGTTTTTTAGCCTCCAGCTCACACATTTTTGTCTTAGCTCAGGAAGGATGGCTCCAGAGCAAATTAATTTATGCAGTAGCCAAATCACTCACTCACAACTTTAATGTCAGTAGCTCACAAAGTAGAATTTTTGCTCACAAGACTCTGCAGCTTAGAGGGAGCATTGGTACTGGGTGGATAAAAATCAATGATTTTTTTAAATTGGATTTTAAAATTTAAATTGGGTTTTTAAAAATTTAAATCAGACTTTTTTAATAGAATGCTTTTTGAGGGAAAATTTATCTAAAGATAGTTTTTCCATTTAAGTTACATTATAGTCCAAAGGTTCTTCATCATGAGATATGGATTAGTTTTTAATTATGTAGCATGAAGGCTGTATATTCATGCAATGTTTAATTTTTTTGGTAAATGAATTCCATTAATCCATTCACAAAGTCATGCTCTCCCAGAGGTTTCTGTAAGATTTTTTTGGGGCAGTTTTTCTTTCTAGATGCTTGGTTTTGTAGTTCTCAAAACGGTGAATTTGTGCCTGCAGAGATAACATGCCTCTTCTTCACAACAAAAATGTTATAAAATAAAGAGATGAGAAAAGGTGTTAATCCTATTGTACCTCAGCAAATCTATCCACATAGAATCAACTACTTACCTCTTAAGTGCTAAGTTTCAAGAAGTGGAGTGGACTAGATCTGCACAAGGAGCTAAGTGTGAGAAGGGAGGGGCAAGCTATAAAAATGAAAGTGAAACCTTTGGAACAAAATACTCCACAAGTCTTGGGATCTTTGTGTATATAGCCTGTGGTTTATCATATTATTCTCTCCCTGGAGGAGAAAACCTATAATGGCAGCAGGCTGTAAAGGAGACCCAGTTTGGGAATATTTTAATGAAGTTCCTCTACCTATGGGTAAGGCAGGCAGGCATGCAAAATGGAAACACTTAAGATTATACCAGCAAGAATGAGTCTGCTGCCAACGCCCTGAGGGCTCTAAGGTTCTTTGACTTGTGTGGCTAGCCGATAAACCACACAGTAAAACAATTATCCAGGCAGTAAAGGGTAACAAAAGAATTTATTCGAATAAGGAACACCTCACAGGTAAAATTCAGTGTAGATGTTCTATGTGTTACAGCCGGGAGCTTGCTTATATGCTCTTCTTGCTCCTCCTCACTTTACATCATCACTGACATCATTTAGGCATGCTCAGTTCAGTTTTCTTTGTCTGGTCAGCCATCAATCACATCTTTGACACACAGGATGTTACTTGGCCGCATCTCAACTCCTACAATGCAGGTGCACTGCTCATTATGCTGATTTATATTTTTGTTTACTTCTTTTGGCTGCCTTCCCAGAGTCCTTTCACCTTTGAATGAACTCTCAGGTTGAGTTCATTTCCAGTACAAAACTTAGATGTTTTCATTACAAAAATGGTTCTTTTACATTAATTCATGCATATAAAAGTATAAGAAGAAGAGAAGAGATTGGATTTATACCCTGCCCTTCACTTGGAGTCTCAGAGCGGCTATGAAGTCTTTTAGTGTTTTAAAGTAGCCTATGGCATAAAGCTCTCGTAGATGCACTGAATCTATCTGTCTTTATTTTGGTACATTTTATAAAGCCTTTTAAAATCTAAATCAAACTTTTAATTTGTAAAATACACCACCTTTTTTAGCCAGCAGGAGTCACCCTTTTATAATACAAGTATTTCTTTTTTTAATTGACTTCTGGTGTCTATGATTTAAGACCCACCTGAACTTCTTAATGAACAGGTGTGCATGATTGATTACTTTGTTTTCTTAAACCTTTTGGAACATCTCCCAATTTTCCGGTTGATAATTTCAAACACAATTCCTTAAAGCTTAACTAGTTTTCTCTTTTTCAGTCAACATACAAAAACATTTTATCCATAAGCTTTCATTCTCAGCTATAAACATTCAGAGATATTTTACCTTTTAACAATTATAAGCACCCTTAAATACTTATATTTATTTTGTATGGAAAGTACAACTGAACTTTATTTAACCCTATTAAGTTTGACATCCTTTTCACTTAGCTTGTGGATCCTTGCCAGGTCAGTTTTTATATAACCATAAATCTCTTAACTGACAATTAATTACTGTGGTGCTTTTACACTAGTCCAGTTCATTTAAGTGTCTATATAAACCAACAAAGTCTTTTCCTCTTTAAAACAGGTTGAAAAGGCAAACATATATATAGATATTGCTTATAGACTCTAATAATTCAATATTAATATGTTAGAGTATTCCAAACTCGGGGAAAGAGAAGCCTCTTTGATGTTTCGTCATTTAAAATTACTGAAAATCAGAAGCTGAAATAAACTTCTGAACTCATTCTCTGAAGTAGGGAGGTTCTCATAAATCTTAAAAATTGACAGTTCCTAATTGAAAATTGGCAAAGTTAACCGGGCAGAAACACCTGCAGTTTCCTCCCTATTTAAAATTAGCTTTACTAGGAAGCAAGGGCTGGAACATGTCAATTAAGTTTGATTTAAAACACCTCCTTTCATAATGCTATTTAGTGGCTTAAACAGTCCAATTCTTCCAGGAGAGTCCCAAAGACTTTTCCCCAAAGATTCCTGTGTATCAGCAATAATCAGTAGAAAATTATATGAACCCTGGGTATCTCCTACAAGTCTATGTAGAAAACTATGATTTAAATCTAATATTACTGACTATTTTAAATCAAATCCACCCTAGCACTACTGTTACAGCTTTTCTGGTGGCAGTGGCTGAAGTTTATCTGATAGAATTTGATCAATTTCAGTTTGTTTCTTCTGAGAAGGTGGACAAACTGCTTGAAAATCCTTGACCCTGTCATCAGGATTATTCAGATGTTAACTAATTTTATATGATCTACTGTCTTTCAACTGTAAAGTCTAAGATATGAATGTTTTCCTTGGTGTTGGCTAGTACAGAAATAGAATGAAAGTGTGTGATTCCTACATTGCATTTGTGGCTAGGTCCATGTTTTATCATCTTCTGGATGTGTTTGCCTGGAGAGTCCCTCTTCCTTTTATGAGGTGAGATTGGTGGGAAGCTGGAAGAACATAGCTTTCTTGATAGTTGACTTTTTCAAGTTCCCTGCAGACAGAAGCCTACCTTATAATGTCTTTATATTCTTTCCACCATTTAATCATAGAATGTTAGAGTTGGAAGGGACCTTGCAGGTCATCTAGTCCAACCCCTTGCACTCTGCAGGAGTATACTGAAAGATAGCCCTACATACCTACAACATACCCGAAAGATGGTCATCCAGCCTCCGCTTGAAAACATCCAGCGAAGGAGCATCCACCATCTCCTGAGGCAGTCTGTTCCACTGCTCAACCACTCTTACAGTTAGGAAGTTTCTCCTGATATTTAGCCGGTAACGACTCCCTTGTAATTTCCACCCATTAGATCTAGTCTTGCAATCCGGAGTGAGAGAGAATAGATCTGCTTCATCTTCTACTTGAAGACTGCAATCATGTCCCCTCTAAGCCTTCTCTTTCCCAGGCTAAACATACCCAACTAATTAAAACCATGAATTAGACTACAAGCTTTGTTTTCCCGTAATTGTTGCTGGTGTGTTGCTAAATAGATTTGTTTGTACTGATGGTTTATTTATTGCATTATTTTACTTTTATTGTGTAACTGTCATGGAAGCAGGGGCTCTGGAGTAGGGAGGGATCAGCTGGAGCACCTTTCTTGCATAGTGGACTTCCCTGTCCCCCCCCCTTTTGCTTCCTTTCCGCAAGCCCTGCTTAATTCCTTGGGGGGGGGGTTAGTTAAGCCATCAACCAGGCTTTGCCTTTGCTTAAGAGGGGCCCAGGTTATCCCTCTCTCTTTCTCCTTGAATTCCACTGGCAGAACTCCTTTTATTCCAAGGAGGAGCTGCCTGAATCAGCCACAGAGTCTGAGGAATACAAAGAAACCATTGCAAAGTTTTAAAAGGTTTTATTTATTTTAAGATTTCATTTAGAATGGAAAAGCCAAAAAGTACAGAAAACCTGCTAGTAACTCTTCTCATAAGCACTGTTATGGGTTTAAGGTTGCCAGGCAAATGAAAACAAATAAAGGTTCCCTACCACACCTGAACTGATTCCTTAAATATGCCCCTTAGTCCTTTGCTAGAACAGGCTGGCATGGCCTGTGATTCCCTAGCCTGCAAGCATACATCCCACTAGCAGCAGCCACCCTGCTAACCAATCCCAGGGGAATGCATACAGAGCTTTGGAGGAGGAGGGTTACTCACAGATCCCTACCCTTTCCTTAGGTTATCGTATCCCCTTCAAAATGGGCAGGGGCCACCCTGACCTGGATAGCCCAGGGAAGCCCAAGGGTGGACTCTGGCAAGTACTTGGATGCGGCACCTCCTTGAAATACCAGAGGGGGGGTAGGCTTTATATCCTCCAGGCCCCCCAGTAGGGGTCAGTCACCAGAGGTCGCCATGACTTCCAGGTGCACATGCACGCATACACACACATGCACACACATATTAAAATGGGCAAGGCCAATCCTGAACTTCCTGGAGTTCTAGGATGGAAGGGAAAGATTAGTCCCACCCTCTTTTAGGGAAAAATCCTCTATTAAGAACTTGTTAAAGAGGCCTCCCTGAGGGCCTGGGAAGGTCACATGACCAGAAAACCTAACAGTATTGAAAAATTGTAATGAATGCAAGGCCTCTTAAGTCCACAATTGATTAGAGTAATGCTGTGTGTATTTTTGAATAATTTTTTTAAATAAATACTTTTGCTGCTATAGGTGTTGTTCTTTTACTTCCCTCTAGTTTGAAAGCAGAGTGGCTTTACAGTCAAGGAAAGGGAAGATCTTTTCGCCCAGGCCAGCATGTTTCATTAGTACATTACCTTGCCAGTGTTTGCCCTCTTACCACTATGTTTGGACTCCAAACTGCAGAGGATGCCAAACTGGAAAAAATACTACATAAGCAAAGGTAAGAACACAATAAGTAACTTAATAAAATAGGGAACAGTTTTCTGCAGCAGAAGTACCGAAAGGATAACCTAGTTGATGTGGCAACTTCAGCCCACATACCACTAGCTATAATAACTGTGAATTGTCTTTTCGTGTTCAAGAGATTACAGAATTTATTTTAGTTCATTTTTTATCCTGCTTTTCCACTAAGAAACCCAGAGCTGCCTACGTGAATCTCTCCACCTTTTTTTTTTTAAATTCTTTCCACCTTCACAGTAACAGGTTAGGAGGAAGAGAACGACTGGCCCTGTGTCACTCCGTGAGTTTTGCAGTGAGTAGGCCTCCCCTAGTCCAAAACATTGACACAGTGGCTCTCATAAGAAAGACCTGTATTACTCATGTTTGCTAATTTAGCTATTCCGGAAAAACAGTGCCAATATGGTCCATGGTTAGCAAAACCAAGCCAGTCTCTAATTGTTGTCTTTAGGTTGCACCAGAGGCAACTGATGTACCAAAGCCAAGCTGATGAGATCTCGGTTTCCTTGTCTCGGAATAAAGGGATGCCTGTTGCCAGTGAGCCAAATAGCCCTGTCCATGTGCCACAAATAAGGACCGAACAAGGTAAGTCATATTCACTGTTGTAGCTTAATATCTTCTGGTAGTGGAATTCCTTGTACACTTTACTTGTAGTCCTGGTTTCTTTTGACTAGGGCCAAAACGACAGATTATATTAGCTTGAGGAGAGAGGGAGTATGGGAGTATGGTGGGGCTAGGAAGGCTGTGGGAGGAAACTTGCAAATGAGAGTAGAAACTGTAAGAACTTGGAGAATGTACTGGCTGAGTTCAGAGATGGGCAGCAGTATCTCAAGGTCAGTGTAAACCAATGCTGCTTCATTTGGAAAGGTAGAGGAGGATTTGCCTCCTCTTTTTCATGGGGGAAAACATTTCTGGAGATTTTTATGTTTAGCCAGCCAGTGCAGATCTGTGACATGTACCCTCTGAGTTCTATGTCTCATAGTGGGTAGACTCCAGATTGCTCTGTGAATGGAAAACCAGCATTTTCTCCCCCTCCGCTTTGTGACACTGCATGCTACGTACTGTGAGTACTACTCATGCTTGAAGGACACATGGCCTTCACATGCAGCTTTAGAGAGTACCAGGACTAGTGGTGTTCTCTAAAGGAAGCGTGGATTGGCTTTCCACTGAAGGTAATGGCTAATACTGCATACACCTTGTTACCAACAATGGCCTGCCTTGTTGTTTGGGGAAATTAGCTATGCAGCAGGATAGGCCAGAGGGATACAGGAATCGCACACCACTTGTATAGTGAGGTCCGGCACAGTAGGGAAACTCCAAATTTGAAGAGTAAATTAAATAGTTTTTATTAAAGCATTTCCCTAATTACAAACACACTAAGCATTCAAAAAGAGCAAACGATGCAGAACTAAGAAAGTGGAGGTGGTTGATAGCCAATAGAGGGGTCAATTACAGGGTGATACAGCCTGTCCAGATGTGCAGGAGTCTATGGATAAGTCTATGACCCAAACCAGAGGTTTAGGGGTGAACTGCCAGTTGGCATCAGGGGCAGATACACAATCTGAGACCATGTGCTCTGACGGATATAGACTTTGGAAAACAATGCTGACTAATGGGAGTTCTTGAGAGGGTTGCCCCAGGTGAAGACAAAAGAGTACCTGGACCAATGATGAGCCTCAGGAGGTGTGGCATCCAGAGGGGCAAGCCCTAGGTGGGACCAGTGAGCTTTCAGAGGGGCAGAGTCTAGCTATAACTGGATTAAGCCAGGTGCTGGATGGGTGGCTGGGAGTGTCCATTGTGGAACAATAGAGTGGCCTAGCATTTCCCTGGTGCCAGACAAAAGAGGTGATGTTTCTTAATGTGAGGCAGGATGAACCTGAATGGGCGACCATTCACTAGATATGGAGAGTTAATGTTTCCTTGATAGGTCTGGCATAGGTGTAAGAATGCAGATATCTGAGACAAATATATGGAGACAGGAATGAGAGGATTATTCCAAAGGTATTTCCTAACATCTAGGTGAAATAGGAGAGGGGGCTGGAAACATGCAACATACTTCATTCATGACAATAGCACAGACCAGAGGTTCTTTGTCCCTGCCTGCCTGTACATTTGACAGACAAAAGACCAGCCATTTGGTCAGTAGAAGATGCCCCTGAGGCAAGGGCAGAGACTTGCCCGTTCTCGTCCTTTTTGGACTGAGCTGACAGGATAGACCGGGGGGGGGGGTTGCTTGCGTAGAGGGTGCTTGGCAGTGCAGCCAGCCTGGAGAGTCTTCACTTGGCCTGAGTTTTCCCAGCCAAGATGTGGTTCTCCTAGCCTAGCCTCCCAGCAAAAGCCACTGCTTGTGGAGATGCAGAGGGCACTGCTTGTGGAGATGCAGAGGTCAGGTTCAGGGCTGAGGAGGCTGGCTACAACCTGGCTGAGAGCCAGCAGAGAAATATCATGTGCTCTGTGTAGGTCTGAGAGGGAGAAGCAGATTGTGTTGATTGTTATTAGTTACTGCTCACTTAAGTGCATGACAAAATATCCAAAGCACTTTAATCTCATCTCATTCTGTTATTACAGAACCTGTTATCCAAAAGAATTCTTGGGTTGGGTCAAGACCTAATGATGACCATTCCTATGCAATTACAACTGTTTTTCCAGCTTCTTCACAAGGTGAAAGAAATGCTTGTGAGGAACTTTATCTGGAAGACATACAAACTGATGAGGACAAACTAAACAGCAGTCTTCTGACCTCAGAGTCTACTTTTATGCCTGTTGCTTCAGGGCTCTCACCGATGTCTCCTACTGCTGCAGTATTGAGACTTCATGGAGTCTGTATTGATACAGAAAATATGGAGGATGCTAACACTGGGCTTGTAAAACAGGTTAATAAGCAAGATGAAGAAAGACAGGAAAAGACTTTTTTGGTTCTTGAAGAAGATCCCATCAAATCAACAGAGACTATGGAAACTCAAATGCAAGGGCAAAAAGAAGGCACATTGTCCGCTTCCAGTGAATCAGTGGTCACTGTTACTCTACCCACTGACATCAGAAGCTGTCAGGCGTCCTCCAAAGACTGTGTTCAGTGTAGTCAGGTCAAGCAGTTGCATACACCTGAAGAAGACATAATCAAAACTGCTTGCCTTGCTACATATCTAGAAGAAAGATCAGATGCCTCTGCTCCTTTACTTCAAACGGATGATGCACTTCAAGAAATGAACAGAGCAGCCACAAAGCTTCAAGCCTCTTGGAGAGGATATTACACTAGGAACCACCATTCCAGAACCAAAGAGGTGCGCTATGAAATACGACTCAGCAGAATGCAGGAACATATTATGCATTTAACTGAAGAAGTAGAAAAGTAAGTCTGCAATCCTATCTACAGTGAACCTTAGAAATGATACTATTACAGATTGAGGCTTAATACAACCTTGAACAGATCTAGCTGCTAACTGTAAGAGGATAACAAGATAGAGCTGTTGCACCCTCAGTTGTATTTTTTTCTGATGTTGTCTCTAGTTATGTTTATGGGGAAGCTGGAGGGAGACTAAAAAACCCAGAGAAGATTTTAGAGGCTAACTTGTTATACATAACAGAAGACGTGATATTAACGTTTAATGCACAAGAAGGAAAGTTCTAAGTTTTCAATATCTGTAGCAAAGAAGGAGTTACTATTTATCATTCTGAGAACACGAATTGGTAGAAGGGAAAAGTGATGAAGTTTTAATGGTAACTCTGTAATGTAAATACTGCAACAAATATGGCCCATTGATGGAGGTAACAGTTTTAAGGTATCTTAAATTTCTCTCTAGTGTAAATACTTCTGGGTCGTTTCTATTTTAGACTGAGAAAAGAGAAGGATGAAGAAAAACTTCAAAGAATGGTGCAAGAGGAGGCTGTCAAATTCCTTTGGGACCAGGTAAAAAGCTTGTCCCTCAATCAGTGTTCCCTCTAAGCTGAGTTAGTGTGAGCTAGCTCACACTAACTCAGCTTAGAGGGAACATTGCCCTCAATCCTTTTCACACCTTATCTCAATATAAACCAAGAATTTGTGGGACAGGGATACCCTGAAGAGAAGCATGTTTGGTATTGTATAATGCATCTGACTACAGGAAAAATCACAAAACAAATTTCCTCCACTGATACTGCTTGAGTATAAAAAACTGCATGTATCATATGGCAAACACGATATATATGTACACGCACACACAGACCCTGAGGGACTTTGCTGCCATTTGAGAGGTACAAATGGGATATGTGTACTCCTCAAAACATGTGTGGTTTTCCTCATCTAAATGCTATCCATTGAAGGAACTAGTCTTTCATGAAAAAATTAATAGACAATGTTAAGGTTTCTGTCAAATATGGCTTGTTTAGTGTTTGCTGCTTTCCAGTAATCATTGCCTACGTTCGACAGAGAGCATAACATTTGTAAATTTATTTTGGCAATCCTCAGGTATATGTTGGTGAAGATGTTCACAGAATAAATTGCTGTACTGTTGAAGCTTCAGTAGCTTGCTATTGTGTGCATCCCTTCTTCAACACCCAGTATTATTTGACGTGGGTTTTAAAAGTAGTTGCTGTTATAAATTTGGGAAACCAAAAATAAGAGAGACTGTGCAGAATACAAAATATAAATGGAATATATTTAAACAATGTGAACAATATTGTCAAAAGAATTAATTACCAGGAGAAGTCTCAAAAAAGGGGCTTCCGGTTTGGCTTCCGCGAATGGTGGACGCAACCTCGGGGCGCTCCCGAGGGCGTCTTCGCCCACCCGCGGCCGAGGGGGGGATCCGCACAAGCAGAGACCCGGACGAGCCCCAGGGGGGCTCCGACTCCGGGCGCG